ATACACATAGAGTTGTTATGAGTCAGAATCAGCTGTACAGTGACTGCGTTTGTTTTCATGTAACTGTGCTGTGGGAGCTCTGGTGGTGTAGTGCCCAAAGCATTTGACTGCTAACCAGAGGTTGGCTGTTTAAACCCATCAACCACTCCTCAGAAAGAAGATAGGGCAATCTACTTTTGTAGAATACCACCTTGGAAACCCAAAGAGGGGTCTCTGAGTCAGAATCGACTCGACGGCAGTGAGTTTTTATAATGTCTATACTGTAATGAAGTAAGTGACTACAGAACTTAGAAATGCCTGTGGACCAAGGCTAGGAGCACTACAATTGGAGCAGTTGGATTGGAATCAGACTGCTTGGGTTCAAGGCCAGCCAGCTGGGTAGCTGGGCAAGTCACTTATCCTCACTTATCCTACCCAGATTCATTTTTTTTTTCTTTCAAATAACACCCCTGTCTGATATTATGTATCAATTTGTTATCATCTGTCCCCCTCACTGGAAAGTAAACTCCTGAGGGCAGGGATGGGCTCTGTCTTGCTCTCTGCTGTTCCCCTAGCACCTGCAGTGGTGGTGGCACACAGATGTTCACTTATTTTTTCTTTCTTCCTTTTTTGAAATAATCACTTTCAGTAGAACAAAAGTAGAAAAAGGATGTATGAAGTTCACAAAATGCAGGAAGATGGACATACGTGTGTGTGTGTGTGTGTGTGTTTGGGGCATGGGAGGTAGGCAGTGGCCATTACTTCCTGCCATCTTCTCCAGAAGTCAGATTCAGAAAAATGGACAGGATAAAGGTGAGTGAATGACAAATAGTTGATAAATAAAAATGATGTGCAAAGGAGGTAGTCCTCCCCATCCCAAAAAACCACCAAACAAAAGAGCAACACTATGTGTTGAAGGGTGTGGTCCAAAACGGTGACATTTTGGTGACAAAAAAGGACAGAGAAGTGGTGTGAAAACCAGCTTCTGGCACCTGAGGATGACACATGATGATCCCACATTCCATTCATACCTGCCATCCATCCAGGCCTCCGTGGGGATACTTGGGATTGTGTTTCATGGTTCTGTGGATATGAGAGTTGGGTATGAAAATGTCTATCCAAATGTCCTACAGTGTAGAGCTAAGCAGAGCAGATCCCCATGCTGGGGTCCTAGGCCTATTGCAGATCTTCAAAGATAATATTTACAGTGGGGTATTTGTAACTTTTCACTGTTTCTAAAACCTAAAGACAACTGTACCTTTTCTCAGGATAGGACTACACAGGTTAATAAAATCACAAGTGTGTTTGGCTGAAATGATATCTACTCAGAAGTTTAACAGTGATTATGCTAAGCAGAGGTTCAGATCAGCACATCAGCAGTGTCTTTAAATTAAAATTGGAAGGAACATGGATTATTAGTTAATAAATGCACATAAGTAGATACTAATTATCGAGACCTGAGGCTTATGGGAGAGAAACAAATGTAATCAATCCTGGGTAGAGAAAAATTTAAGATGATTAGGGGCATAAAGTAAGGGCCTAAGAGCTATGTTAGACAACAGGGTCTTGGCATAAGCGTCAGAATACAAAGAGGTCAAGAATGCAAGCTCACAGACACTTTTTATGAAGTGCTTGAAACTGGAAAGTAGCCTACTATTAGGATGAACAATATGAAACCACTGCTGTTCATGCATTTGACCTGCAGAAATGGGAGTGTGATCATGCTGTCTACAGTGTGAGAATGTGTTGTTCTTCCAGCAGCACAGATTCCCACGCAGTCACTGTGAAGCGCTGATGGACAAGCGCTTCGGGAACCGGCAGACTCAGGCTGTCCTGCTAAGGTGGCTTGTGTGCTGCTGTGGTGTGTGATGCTGGAAGCTCTCCACTGATACTGCAAATACCAGAAGGGGCACCCATGGTGGACAGGTTTCAGGGAGCTTCTAGAGACTAAGGGAAACTCGGAAGGCAGGCCTGGTGATCTACTTCTGAATATTAGCCAATGAAAACCCTGGATCACAACAGAAAACTGTGCAATGTAGTGCTGGAAGATGAATCTGCTAGATTGGAAGACACTCAGAACACAGTGGCCATAGCAGTGGCTTGAGAATACAAGGGATTGTGAAAATGGTACAAGACAAGGAAGCATTTCACTCTGCTGTGCATGATGTCATCCCGGTCAGCCAACTCATGGCAGCTAACAACAGCAAGAGGTGGTGGTGAGGTGTATCAGTGAGTCCTTATAAACACCCTAGGAGCAGACAATCCTCATTTTATAGATAATGGATCACAGCCTTAAGAGAAAGAACAAGGATTCCAACCAAAGTTTGTGAGATCTCAAAGCCTGTGCCTCTATCACTCCATCTACTGCTCTTGGCAGCCCATGGGTCCAAGGGGATCTCTCCCAAACCAGCAGCCCCATCACAAATGGAAGGGGTCTTTCCTGGCTCAATACTGGCCCAGCAGCGCACTGCCAATGTCTGCCCCCTAGTGGCAGGTCTATGCAACTGGGCTTGAACTTGGTTATAAGTAGTAAGATACGGCTTTAATGAAATGAAGAAAAGATAGTACCCTCTTTTTTTCTTTTCTTTTTTTTTTAATGAGCTGGGCTTCATGTTGTCTGAAATATTAGTGGTTTTCCACTGTTGCAGCTACAGCAGTTAAGAGTTGAACCAAATTCCTTGGGGAGATGGCAGTTTGTTCATCACCACATCCAAGAGCCCCCACCGCCCCGGTAGTAGCTGCTCAATTATGTTAACTTCAAATCAGCATCTCTTACCTTTGCAAGAAATGCTCATACTTCTGCCGGTACGCAAAGCCGGCCCGTCTCACCCGCAGGTGCTCCATCAGTCCCAGGTACTTGATCTGATGCCTGATGAGGAAGTCGTCAAACTTGCCTTGGTGGAAATACAGAAAGATGACAATAAAGAGTCCTGCAGCTCCATTTCAAACAAAACCAGAGGCTGCAAGCTGATGGTCCCGGAGCTGGGTCTGCCACAGACATGCTATTTGGGGCCCTAGTATTTCTGGAACCCTGGTGGTGCAGTGGTTAAATGCTTGACTGCTAAATGAAAGATCAGCAGTCTGAACCCACTAACTGCTCTGCAGGAAAAAGATGCGACAGTCTGCGTCCCTAAGGGTTACAGCTTTGGGGCAGTTCTGCTCTATCCTATAGGGTCACTGAGTTGGAATTGACTTGACGGCAACAGGGTTGGTTGTTTTTAATCGTTTCCAAAAGGGAATTTTATAAGAAAATCTGGATTTCTGGTTTTCCTAAAGAAAAAGAAAAAAGAAAAAAGATGAGTTCTGGCCATACTGGGCCCAGAGTCCTACATGGCAACAACTAGCTGGGAGATAGTACTGCTGCCCCTTTAGGCAGGATGTGCCTTCTCCAGTTTGCCCCAGTCCCCTCCACTCCCTATTGCCTTACACCCAGTCTGCTTTGCTCATTTGCTCTTGCTGCATGGCTTCTGTAATCCCATGACCATGATACTTTATCATAGATCATGGCAAGAGCTATGAAAATACCCATTTTGGAAGCCTGCTGACTGGCTGGAGAGAAGCAACATTCCCCCCACCTGGAAGACCCAGTTGTGTTGCTCCTGAAACTGGCTAGTGTCTAGGCAGTGCTCACTCGGGACCACAAAGGACCCCCTCCTCCCCTGATCATTTACCTTCTGTCATTAAGAAAATAGAAACAGTTCATGCACAAGGAACAAGGAGTGAGCCCAGAGGGTTCTTAGGGTCCTAACCCACCACCATCTGGGTGTTCTGGCCTTAACTTTCCTTAGCTCAGGGTTCAGACCAATTCACGACTCACTAGGTTCTTTCCCATCATTGGGCTTGATGCAGCGGATGTACGAGGGCGCCTTAGAGATGAGGATCCCTAGAAGGCTGCTCAGACTGTTCTTAAACTGAGTCCCCACCTGTGGAGAAAGAACCAGCCCGTAAATGCTGCTGCGCACAGTGCGTGCTGTGAAGACCACACCTGTTAGACCAAACTGTCTTTGGATTGTCCTGTCGTTGCTTTGCCCATTAAAAGGATACTTTGGATGTCCCCATCTGAAAAGCTCAGGATTGGCTTATTCAGATGGAAGTTGAGCAAGTTCCTGTCTGAGATTGATCGGTCCTTCATTCATTCATTCATTCATCCAATGTACCACAGCCACTGAGCCCCAGTCACTCGCAACCACATTCCTTCATTCCTTGTCACTGTGTTTCCTTTGATGGTTGCATGCAGTTTTATAGCTTCCTTATTTACATGGTGGTACTTTCCTACACACCCTTCCCATTAGACTGTAAGCCCCTGAGGGCAGAGACCTTTGTTATCTTGTTGCTGCTAAGTCCCCTGTGCCCAGCACAGTGCCTCACACAAAGTAAGTGCTCAGTTGACACTTTCAAACAATCCAACTGGTAACTAAATTTGGAAAGTGCATATTTAATAGCACCAGTTAAGGGAGTGGAGTCCCTGGGTGGCGCAGTTAATGCTCTCCATTGCTAACTGGAAGGCTGGAGGTTGAGTCCACTCAGAGGCACCTTGGGAGAACAGCTTGGCCATACACTGACAAAAAATGAGCCGCTGGAAACCCGATGGGAGACACCGAGTTCTACTCTGGCAGACACCGAGTCATCACGAGTTTAAACCAGCTTGACAGCAACTGTTTCTACTGGTTTGGTTAAGAGAGTGAAATTTCCAGAAAAGAGAGAGGTGACTTGGAAAATGGAGGTAACCAAAGGTAAGCACACCATCTAGGTGACTTGTGTTACCTTTCCAATTTGCAAAAGCATTTTCCCACTCACCGTTGGCGGCCGCCTCCGATTTTCTAACTCGGCCATGAGGAAGCACTCCCTCAGGATGCTGTTCTTGGACCGACACAGCACCTGTATGTCGGAGAAACAGGCACGTCAGCTGCTTCCGTCACTGGGCCGGCAGGAGAGCTCGTCGGAGCGTGCGAGGGCTCCCAGGGCCCAGTGCTTTCGGAAGACACTGCCAGTGTAAGACTGAGGGGCAAACCAGTCACGAGTGGGCGAAAACATTCCAATACTGTATTCAGTGCTCCACTGGATGAGCCATCTGATTATTTTCCCAACACCCAAACCCACTGCCATCGAGGCGGTTCCAACTCAGAGCGACCCCATAGGGCAGAGTAGAACTGCCCCATAGAGTTTCCAAGGCTGTAAATCTTTACGGAAGGAGCCTGCTGCCTCTTTCACCCATGGAGCAGCTCATGGGTTCAAAATGCTGACCTTTTGGTTAGCAGTCCAGTGCTTTAACTACAGTGCCATCAAAGAATAAGGGGAAACAAATCATTTCCACTTCAGTGAGCTGTTAAAGAAGGAAAACAAACAACAAAAAACCCACTGCCATAGAGTTGATTCCGACTCATAGCAACCCCCACTGGGTTTCCAAGGCAATAAATCTTTATGAAATAGATTGCCTCATCTTCCTTCCACAGAGAGGCTGGTGGGTTTGAACCACCAAACTTCTGGTTAGCAGTCAAATGCCTTAGGCACTGTGCCACCAGAGCTCTTTTGTTAAAGAGTAGACCAGCTCTTTGAAAATGAGCTCCAAGAGACTGGTACGTGATAAAGCCAGAACAGAACCATGTGCATAATGTGCTGTGATTGTGCAAAACAGGAGGGGGGGGGGACATACCCTATTATGAATTTAATTGTTCCCCCTTCAAAACATAGGCGCTCTGGTAGTGCAGTGCCTAAGGCACTTGACTGCTAACCAGAAGGCTGGCAGATCAAACCCACCAGCCACTCCTCGGAAGAAAGGTTGGGCAATCTACTTCCGTAGTGTTACTGCCTCGGAAACCCAAGGAGGGGTCGCTATGAGTCAGGTCCGACTCGATGGCACATAACAACAATAACAACCTTCAAAATACATGCCTGTAAATATGCCAGTTTGGAAATAGTGGTTAAGCCCTCAACAGCTAACCAAAATGTCAGCCGTTTGAACCCGTCAGCAGTTGTGCAGGAGAAAAGACCTGGCAGCCTGCTCCCATGAAGATCACTAGGACAGTCCATGGGGCAGTCTCCTCTGTCCTGTAAGGTTCGCTATGAGCTGGAATTGCCTCCATGACACAGGTTTGGTTTGTAAATGGGAGTTTTCTTTGGTTATGTTGATGAGGTCTCACTAGAGCAGGATGGATCCTCAACCTAGCACCTCTGAGTTAGTTATAATAGAGATCAGAGACCCTCGCGCACACAGGAAGATAGATGGCAAGGGATGCCAAGGGCCACTGGCAGATGGCAGACACGGAGGCTCACAGGCAGAACGGACACAGCCGACACCCTGACTGGGAGCTTCAGCCTCCAGGACTGTCAGACAATAAAAGTTCTGTTCTATAAATCCACCCACTTGTAGTGTTTCTGTTATGGTAGCACTAGGAATCTAAGACAGACGTGCACAGACACACACTGGTCTGCATGAGCCTTGGAAGGACACAATATACTATTGAGAATAGTCACCTCTGGGAAGAGAAACTGGGTGACTGGATCCAGGGTGGAAGGGAGACTACCTTTTGTACCACTTGGATTTTTTTTCTTTTGCATACATTTCCAAAAACCATCAATATTACAAAAAGTCCTCAGTATTTTAAAAATTTAATTACACATTGAAAATGTTATTTTTTGTTTAATGCACCCAACTCTAAACTTAGAGTGGTATGAAAGGGTACAAAGAGAAGAGTAAGAGAGAGAGAAAGTTACAAGTGACCTGTTCAGAGTCGACTGGGACACAGGTGACGTGAGCTCTGGTTGGTGGCACTAAGGATTCAGAGAGCTTTTCCTGTGGGATGCACAAGAACTGGGCCTTTTTCAGAGCTGGCATGGTGCCTGCACAGAGGAGGGGCCCAGCCACACCTGTGTTGTTCTGTGGAGTGATGGGCTCATACACAAGATCTCAAAGGTCTTTTCTAGCCATCGTGTGGCCGTTCTCATAAACTGCACAGAAGCAAAGAATCCACAGGCCAAACCCACCCCAACATCAGTGTCACGGGTGCTGTGCCATGACAGAACCACATACAGCTAGTTTCTGACTTACTTCTTTCAGATGTCTGTAAAGTAGGTCGATGTTTTTCTCCAAGAATCCTGTAAAACATTGAATACAAATTTCTCGAGCTGATTTTGGCCTGATAATGCAAACCCATTGCAATGGAATGCAGGAGGAAATTCTAAAAATAATTTCTTAGGATTTAAACAGAGTTTCTCCTATCATTGCTAGTGCTATTCATGGCTGGATAAAAAATATATTTTAAAAATTAGAAAGACTTCTCAAATGGCATGCCTGAATGTGAGGCATGGAATATTTGAACTGGACATGCCACATTTCCTCAGCTTTCTGGGGGATGCAAGGCTGGACACACGCACACACACACGCACACACACAGCACCTGCATAGCACTCACCCTTGGTGCAGTACGTGACCTCGCCCGCATAGTGGAGGAGGCGGAATTCCATCCAGCCAATCTTCTTTCGGTCCTTAGGGCCCACCAACTTACGGCTGCAGCAAGACAGAAACAGACGTGAACTGAACCTTTCTACTTAACTGCAACGAAATGCACCAATATACAAACCAATCAGCGAGAACCGTTCCTAAACACAACAATCAGCTGAGGCCAGCCGAAAGAGAACCACCCAGGAAGTCTCCCAGTAAGCCTTGCTACCTGTTTCATCTCATTATAGAGCATGGGTCTCTCTAAAATCGGGTCCCTTCTCCTAGACACCCAGGAATGAAAATAGCATGCGAGAGCCAAAGAGCACAATTACTTGTACAGTTTGTACAACCCTGATTTTTCTAGGTGGCAACTAAGAAATAATCTTACATCTTTAGGATGTTGGGAGATTAAAATAGTCATTAAATCTATTTTGTCTCATATTGGTGATTCAAGGATTTTAAATTACTTTCCGTTGAAGTATAGCATATATGTTGACAGCGCACATATCCTAAGTGTATACCTCATTGAATTTTTGCAAACTGAACATGTGCATGTCACCAACATCCAGATCAAGAAACAGAACATTCACGAATCCCCAAGGACCTCCCCCTCCCCCTGAGCCCTCTTGTCATACCCTGACTTCTAACAGCTTAGGCTAGTTTTACGTTTTATAGAAAGAGCCTTGGTGGTGCAGTGGTTGAAACACTCAGCTGCTAACAGCCAGGAGTTTGTGCCCACCAGCTGCTCTGTGGGACAGAAGACCTGGCAATCTGCTTCCATAATGATTACAGCCTAGGAAACCCTGTGCTATAGGGTCAACCATGAGTTGGAACCGACTTGACGGCACTCGGGAACAACTTACTTTATAGGGAGCCCCTGGGTAGCACAAATGGTTAAGTGCTCAACTGCTCGCTGAAAGGCTGGCAGTTCAAACTCACTCAGAGGACAGGCCTGGGAGTCTCCTTCTAAAAGGTCACTTCCTTGAAAACCGTATGGAGCAGTTCTACCCTGCACACGTAGCACCACCATGAGTCAGAATCAACTGGAGGCAACGTAACAACATACTGTATAGAAATGGTGTCACACAGTAGGTACTCTTGTGTCTGGCCTTTTTGCCCACATGTTTGTGTGATTTACATCATTCCATGCAGACATATAGAGATATCAGAATTCTAAAGCAGTTTTGATAATAGCCACTACCATTTATTAAGTCTTTACGATGGCCAAAACCTATTCTATAGTGACTTACAATGCTATACGGAAGGTGTGGGGAGCCATGGTGGTTCAGAGGTGGAATTCTTCCCTTCCATGTAGGAGACCTAGGTCTGATTCTTGGCCAAGGCACCTCCTCTACCAGTGGAGGCTTGTACACACTATCATCTGTCATCTTGTACACACACTTCATCTATCAGTGGAGGCTGTGTGTGGCTGTGATGCTGAACAGATTTCATTAGAGCTTCTAGACTAAGAGTAGGAAGAAAGGCCTGGTGACCTACTTCCAAAATCAGCCAATGGAGACCTTGTTCATTAGCTAGCTTTTCATTTCACTGTGCACAGGGTTGCTCTGAGTCAGAAGCCAACTCAACAGCAACTAACAACAACATGGTAGGTATATCAACATCCCCATCTTGTAAAAGAAGAAACCCAAATGCAGGAGGGTTAAGTTGCTTGCCCAAGATAATGTGTCTAGGAAGTGGCTGAGTTTAGGACTCAAAACCAGGTCTTTATGACTCCGTAGCATATGTGTGGATCTTCTGGGAGGCTAAAAATGCTTAGTATCTTGATCTGTGTGGTGGTTACATAAGTTCACACACATATAAAACTCATTGGATTGCATATCTCAGATCTACACAGAACACTGTATATGTTTCATACCTGAATTTTTTAAAATGACTTTTGTATTATGTGGGAATGTAAAAAATTTAATGATCATTGTATAAAGTAGGATGTAAAACCTTAAAGGAAAAAAAAAATTCCAGCTGAAATTCATTTCCATTTGATTTCTCCTGACAAAAAGTATGTGCACATGTATGAGTGAGTTAACATGATGATACGTCTATGTAGGCAGCACTACCTACGTACCAAAGAAAATGACATACAACAGTCATGCAACACCTGTCAAGTGGAGCACATACGTTTGAAAGTGTGCGTGCTTGCCCACTTTCTCCTCCAGTTTCTCCAGGAAGGTCAAGTCTGTAGCAGGACCAGGCCGGATACATTCTTCATCCTTCAGAAGAAAGAAAAGCCTCAATTCCTAGTGCCATACACCATCCATTCCAAGTTCAAATACTCTCCCCGGTTGTGGCAGAATGTAGTGGGTGACAATGCTGTCATCTAAGACAAGCCCAGGTGAACACTTGGGAAGGGGGTGGCTTATCTATCATACATGCTCAGCTTCTCAGATTTAACCAAAGAATCAGAAAAAGAAAAGAAGAAAATACAGCCATGGAGTCATTTAAACTCACAGTGACACTACAGGCCAGAGGAGAACTGCCCCAGAGGTTTCCAAGGCTGCAGATCTTTACAGAAGCAGATTGCCTCATCTTTTTCCCACAGAGTGGCTGGTGGGTTGCAGCCCAATGCTTTTACTACAGCACCACCAGGGCTCTGGAAATTCCATGGAAAGTCAAGTCTCCCATCCATCTGACCATATTTCTTGGGCCTTCCCAAGGGCAGTGTACAGCTTCCATGACCAGCCTGCCTAAGCACTCAGCCTCATTTTCCCTCAACTAGTCATCACCACTCACCATCGCAGTGTGTCCAGACCTTTGTAGTAGGAGCAAAGCTTGCACAGAAAAGGGCTGTAAAACCAGTTGGGTCTCAAGCTGTGTGTATTTCCCAAGCTGTGTGTTATGGATTGAATGATGTCCCCCAAAAAGATACACTGATGCCCTAACCTTCAGAACCTGTGAAGGTAACTATGTTTGGAAATAGCATCTTTGATGATGTTACCAGTTAACATGAGGTCATACTGACAGGAGGTTGCCCTAACATGAGTAGGGTGGGTCCTTATCCAGTCTGAGTGCTTTCCCTAAAAAAAAGGAGAAGAGAGGATGGCCATGGGAAGAGGCACCTATAAGCCAAGGAATTCCAACAAACACGTAGGGCTACGAGAAGCCAAGGGTCTTCCGCTAGAGTGGACAGAGAGGATGGCTCTGCCGATGGCCTGGGCTGGGACTCCTAGCCTCCAGGGATGTAAGGCGATAAATTTCTGTTCTTTAATGCCACCAATTATGTGGTGTTTTGTTACAGCAGTCCGAGGAAACTTAAGTACCGTGCCTTTCTGTTTGCTCATTTTGGTCCTAAACAGTGATGGTATTTAATCAACCATCTTACGAATTAAGGATGAATCATCTCTGTAGCTTTTATTTAAAAACCTCAACACAACTAGGGTTAAGTGTGATGAGACAGCTTTTATGAAGGATGCTTCTAGAGTCCATTCATGAAAAGCCAAACAGAAACAAGCTATTATTACTCAAATATTTCAGAACACGAGTCTAAGCATCTATGTGCACACTGAATGGACATGGGTTAGTTTATGTGAGTCTTCCTGGACTCTCTTCCACCAGTCCACCAGGCTGGCCCCTCACCTCCCTCCAGTCTTTGCTCACTGGCCACCTTCTCAGTGAGACCTCGCCCAACAGCTGTTATCTAAGACAACCTCCAGCACCTCAGCCTCCCTCTGCTTCTTCCTCCAAAGCATGACCTGTATGCTCTGCCCATTAACTTGTCTACCGTCTGCCTCTTGAGGCTAGAACAGAAGGTGTCTTGAGGGCAAGAATTTTGGTCTGTTTGGTTCACTGCTGTGTCCCAAAGCACAAGGCACAGTCCTGGCACAAAGTAAGGGCTCCATAAATATTTGTTGAGTGAATAAAGAGCTGGGATGGCTACCACGCACCAGGTACAGTTCTCTGTGCTCTTCATGTATGACCTCATTTAATTTGTCCTATTGTCCTATGACACTCCACGGGAGGAAGCTGGGGCAATCTACTTCCATAAAGATTTACCACCTCGGTGTGGGGACCACATTTGCTGTCCGATAGAGCCTGGTGGAACCACTGAGACTATGGCCCCTAGCTGCCCTTCAGGTCTGGAACTGAACCCACATCTGTGGTTTTCAGCCAAACAAAAGACAGGCATATGAATTAAACATTTACCTGAAGTAGATACACTCCTTGGAGAGAACAATCATAGGAGAAAGAAGGGCTGCTTATGCACAGGGAGACAGCTCAGGGGGCAGGAGT